ACACACACACACACACACACACACACACACACACACACACACACACACACACATATATATATATACAATTCTTAGCAAAGCCATATGTATAGTCAAAAAATAAAGTTTCATAAATCCAAATCTTATTACAAGCGTTACTTAATTTGCTAATATATTAGGTTATTATAAAAATTTATCAATTAGATTACGTATCATATATGATATTTTAGTTTATATTGATTGTTGTAATTGTTATAAGGACCGTGTTGGCTGAATCTGTTGTGCATACATTAACAGATTTATATTACTTAGTTGTACCATAATTTCTATTATTACTCTTAAAATTAAATAAGTATTGAGATATTGGAGAGGAAAAAAATTGAAAAAAAATTGTACACAAAAAATAGTTCTTATTAACAAACAGATTGATTTATGCCAAAACTTAATCGGCTACTCATTTTTCTGGAAATAATAGAATTAAACGAAGAGCACAGATTCTTACATAACGTATAACACGTAATACGTAAGAAAATGAACCAATTGAAGTCCTTCATTTCCTTCCTTTTTATGAAATAAAGAATTCTGATTGGTTTAATTTCTTATGCCTCATGTGTTATGCGATATGCAAGAGTGTATGCTCACCGTTTTAGGTTACGGTCCATTGATGCTACAAATGCTTTGAAGCATTTTTTTATTGATCAATAAAATTCTTTCTTCCGATTGGTCAATCGAACACTTCGAAGCATTTGTAGCGCTAAGTGGACCGCACCCTTAAGTAAGATATTAGGGAGTATTTGCAATACCGTTTTATCCAAATACTGTGAACGCTAAGATCAGGTTATCTTTTTCTTAACAACTACTTAAGAAAAGAATAGCGACTTTACCGTACCTGAATTAACGTTATTGCAAAAATGTCCTATTGGTTGCGTTTAGCGGACTCAACAGTTGAATGAGCACTCGCTGTCATTAGTGTATTCTTTTAGATTATCCAATATTTTATAGGTGCGTTCCGAGTTACGCATGAAGACCGCGTGGACTGTGCACAGGGATTCTATTCTTGAACAAATATCGCATATACGAAAATAGCAATTCCGTATACAATCAACTAATCAAGGAACTGTCATTTTCGTACGCGAAAATTATTTATATGTATTCAGGGCCCCTGAAAGGAAACGTCGCTCAGATGCTCGAATTTATCATGTCCTTTGATTGTTCAATTAGTAAAAGTCTTTCTTTCGATTGGTTAATCAAATGCTTCGAAATATTTGTAGCGGCAACTCAAACGCATCCTTTGTTTACGTATGAAGTGCATCATTTGTCCTTGTTGTTCACCAAATAATAAAGAAGATAAAATGATACATCATGCGCTTTATGTATAATTCGGAACGCATCCTAAATGTTAAATAAGGACAGATGATGAATCCGAGGCATCGGAGGCATCCGAGTCACAGTATCCAAAAATGGTGGCGATTATTTTGCACAAATTTCGACATAGCGCACTAATTAATTTCCCTATTCCCTAATAGCGTTTTCGGCCCGACCGAGTTTGCACTAATCTGAGTTGAAGTAATGATGTTTTGTGCTTTCCTATAGAGCGTGTAACGTCAACCAATAGTAAAGCATTTTCTAATCTAAGTTGGTGCAAATCCAATCGGGACGAAAATGCTATAAGATTCTTCACTTTTATAAGTGCTCACGCACAATTTACAACATATCGGTCGTTTGCGTCAGATCAAAGGTATCGAGGATTTAGTTCCCATTGAGGGTTTAAATCGGATAAGAATGTAAGAACCAACTACAATCGAGTACTCCCCTGTTATAGTTCAATGACAGGGGCACAGTACATACAGTAGCGCAACTCCCTGTCGGCTCCCCTTTGATATTAGTGTGGTCAAAATGGAGTGCGCATGCGTAAAATAAGCAAGTTACCTAGCGTTGCCATGGTTATCACTTTCTTTTTCTTTTCATCCTTTTTTCGCTTTGTCAAAACTCACTAGATTTATTCGCGTCGCACTTCAACAAATGCGTTGGAGTTATTATAGTAAAAGCTGTTATAGGAGCATATTAAAGCATGTAACATATACAAACGAATAAACCTACTATTACAATGAAATAATTTGAACTTAATGAAAATTAATAAAAATAAATTGTAAACATATTGAAAAATAAAAAGAAAATATAGAAAAGTATTAGGAAAAATATTAAATTAACTTAAAAATGTATATTTGTATAAAGAAATATTATGTAATTATATATCTATGAAAATGTTATGAGAAAGCTGAGAGATATAAAAGAAATTTATATACTCGTACATGTACGAGTATGTCCAAAAAATAAATTTAAAGTACAATAAATGAAAAGAAATTCTTTTTGCTCGATTTTCTATGTTACATTTTGTTCACTTTTTCACTTTATCACTTTTTCACAAAAATTAGACCAATCTCTCGAGATTTCTCACACAACATTTCACCAAATGGACAATACACGTAATACTTTCCTCTAAATTTCTACTCTGAACCATGTATGCTTGAAAGACAAACGTTTAAGTGGAACATTGAAACACTTATTTAAATAGAGAGAGAAAGAGAGAAAACAATAAAAAAAGGAAGGAAATGAGACGGGGCAACTTGCTTATTTCACACATGCGCACTCCATTTTGGCCAACATAAAATCGAGAGAGTTGCACCACAGTATATATAGTAACGCATCTCTCCCGATTTTATATTGGCCAAAATGAAGTGCACATGCGTGAAATAAGCAAGTTGCTCCGTTTCATTTCTTCCCTTTTTTTATTGTTCAGAGTAGAAATTTAGAGGAAAGTATTACGTGTATTGTCCATTTGGTGAAATGTTGTGTGAGAAATCTCAAGAGATTGATCTAATTTTTGTGAAAAAGTGATAAAATGAAAAAGTGAACAAAATGTAACATAGAAAATCGAGCAAAAAGGATTTCTTTTCATTTATTGTACTTTAAATTTATTTTTTGGACATACATGTATATAAATTTCTTTTATATCTCTCAGCTTTCTCATAACATTTTCATAGATATATAATTACATAATATTTCTTTATACAAATATACATTTTTAAGTTAATTTTATATTTTTCCTAATATTTTTCTATATTTTCTTTTTATTTTTCAATATGTTTACAATTTATTTTTATTAATTTTCATTAAGTTCAAGTTATTTCATTGTAATAGTAGGTTTATTCGTTTGTATATGTTGCATGCTCTAATATGCTCCTATAACAGCTTTTACTCACTCCAACGCATTTATTGGAGTGCGACGCGAATAAATCTAATGAGTTTTGACAGAGCGAAAAAAGGATGAAAAGAAAAAGAAAGTGATAACCATGGCAACGCTAGGTAACTTGCTTATTTTACGCATGCGCACTCCATTTTGACCAACACTAACATCAAAGGTACCGACAGAGAGTTGCGCTACTGTATGTACTGTGGTTGCGCTATTGTATACGAGTATACTGTGACAGGGGATTTCTACTGAGGATGTAATCCGAATCAGAATGTAAGATCAACTACAGTCGAGCATTTCCCTGTCGTTTGATTGTAACAGGAGAATACTCGACTGTAGTTGGTTGGTTCTTACATTCTGATCCGGTTAAACTCTAGCTGAAAAGTAGGCCACAGAGAATGAAACTACTGTTTTTACTTATACTGTGAGTTCAAGTGACATTTCTGAACATAGCCAAAGTCGTTCCGAATTAGGGAGCGTTTATATTTCCCGTATGCCGTATACCGTAATTTGTTAAGGAACCGTTTATAATAGCTGGTACTTCGCTATTATGGCCGCGATATAGTCATAACCTGAAAGTTGTTAATAATATAAATAAATTTTAAATTTAATAAAAAAATATAGATTTAACCAACATGTGGCAGTGTGTGGAATGTTCCTGTCAATTCTGGAGCTAGCATGTACATACATATTTAACGGTGCATACTTAGATGCACCGTTAAATAAAAAAAAATAACAAAAAAACGCCGTTGGAGTGTACGTCTAATAAAAAAGGGAAAAAAAGAACGTTTTTATCATATAAGTGCTGAATTATTTGACTCAGAAAATCAAATCAGCATTGTTTATTTTTATTTCTTCTGATTTAAGTTCTTTCTCGAACAGGTTAAAAGAAAAATTCTTTTGCACTTGAATCTCTTGGTATTTTGCACTTTTCTATTCTTTTGTATTTTTTCCGTATTTTTCCGTGACCGTAGGCCGGTAAAAATAAAGTTGAATCAACTTTTCGGTTACGGCCCAAATATATATTTTTGCCGGCTATTATAAATGGTAGTATGGGTTTCCTATCTTCTAACTTTTATGATATCAGCCTAAATAAATGGCGTATTATAAACAGGCTCTAAGAATTGACTAATTACAGTCGAATATTCCCCTCTCATTCATAAGTATTATGACAATAATTCTCTGTATTTATAGGATACACAATGCCATACAGTTGCGTAATAAAATGTTTTAATTTATGGAAGATAAGTAATATAATGTATTATTTTCCCAAAAATTGTGAAAGACTTGTGTGGTGATTGGTTCCGCCATTTTTAGGGTGTCTGACGTCTGATTCAATGAAAAAAAGGTTTACGAAATCGCCGGACTCCGTATTCTAGCGACACTAGGAAATAAAGCGAAGCTTGACCTCCGACGAAGTCACCAGAGCTCGCGCCACGCGCCGCGCTATAGGGTTAAGCAGTCTTGGTTTATAAGTCTGCGTCTCAATACAAGCATGTTTGTAGAATAACGTGATGGAAGGTTTTCAGATCAGCCATACTGCTTAAGCATTGAGAAGATAACTTTTTATTTCAGAAGAGAAGCACATGACAACTATATAGGATGCCATTAAGGGTCAACAGGAGTAACGGGCCAAGTCCGATTTGATTTTGAAGACCTCACGTGGTAGGACCTTGAAGCTCTGGATTCAGATCTGCCAACTTCAGATAATATAATCTACATCTTCTTATGTGATTGTGTATATATACGTACGAACACTAATATAATTTCTTTGAGAGCGAACGAGACATCGAAAGAGAGCGAGAGCTCTTTTTTTAGTTAGAATGAATATAAATAAAATTACTGAAATTATATGAAAGGTTGGACACAATATAAATAAATATTATAAATTAAATTCATTGTGTCAGTGAGTAAAAAATTCAAACTAAAACTACTTCTTTGTTCAAATGCAAAAAAAATGGAATCATGAATTAAAGTTTTTATAATTACGTTATATAAAGTCAAATGATTGATGTACCTTAGTCAAAATTGAATGTCCTGAAATATATTTATATATACATATAAAAATTAAATTAATTATATTCAATTTAATTCAATTTAATAACGAAATTCAATTTAATAACAGATTCTATGAAAAGATTATACTCAAATAGACCAAATAATGAAAATGCTTCGTGTCAGAGTAATTTCAAATTTAAAGATCTTGTTTTTTAGTGTTTTAGTAGTAAAATAAGTAGGAGAGAGAGAGAGAGAGAGAGAGAGAGAGAGAGAGAGAGAGATATAAAATGAATTTTACAATAAAAATAAGTTCATTAGATGGAATGCTCGTTTTCTTTTCAATATAATAATTCTAGCCCTAATTTTTATACTTTGTATTGCAATAAAGCAATCGTGTGTTTTTCTACAAGTGATACAGTGCAAGACAGATCATGTTATCCTTGTCGAATAACAAGAATATAATGATACTGTGTCACACCGTCTACTCAAGATTTAGTCTGAAAATCCTTTTTGACCTTTTGTAGCAGAAAGCAATAAGGAATAAGGCTAACAGGCGCCACTGCGAATTGTGAATTTTTGTATATGCACATATTTGCGTATATGTAAATGTTATTTTATAACTACGCATATATTGTAAATACATATGTACAAAAAAATATTCTATGAACAAACTAATGTTTCTTGTCATAAATTAATAGTAGCAATATGATCTAATATTAATATTTTCAAGCAATTAAGTACAATAGTGTATAATCGAGTTTTAAAGGAAATTATAATTATAGAGTATTAAATGTTTATTTTAAAAGAATAAATAGACGTTTCAGATTCTTCTACAGCAAATAAAATACTTTTTCATAGCCATAATCTTCTCCGAATATATTAAAATATTAATATATTATATTAAAATATATTAAATAATCTGTATAATATCGGTAGCTCAATGTCTCGCATTAATCAAGCTCCGAGCTCCCTCTGTGGACGCTTGTGGGTACGTGCGTGATGCGGGGGGTCTGGCGTTGCGCGCTACAGCTCGCTCATCGCTCGCTTGTACCTTTGTGGTTGTGCTGGGATACCGACTTGGGGTGGCCACGACGACGCGACTCTCACGTTGTCAACGATTTCGTGTTGGAGGTTCGGAGTCAATAACGAAATTGAGAACGATTTCTCAGTGTGTGGTGTTGAAAATAAAGTGGAAAGAAAACCGAAACACTTTGCCCGTTAATTACCTGGCCCCCTCCTTACCGTACACTCCCGATACGGAACAATATCAATATTTTAAATATTCTTAATTAGTTTTTACAAAAAACTTAATGATTTTGTATATATACAAATTAATAAAACATCGTAAAAGAATTTATATACTCGTATTCGTATACATTCCACAGTAACAGTATACGTTGCACAGAAAATTTCGATTACACTCTTGAACAAAAGTCTTAAATTTAAACTTCTTACTTAAATTTATTAACCTCTTCGGTAGATTATTGGTAAGTATAAATTGTTTAATAATTATAGTATAATTTGTAGAAAATCTATTATATTGATTATATGTATATAAGCTAATTGTATACATTTTACAAATCGTGAGTTAATTTAAACTATAAAGACGTAGGATTTTTTTTCTTACTTATTTCAAAGTTGCTCTTAAATAATTGTTTGTTAAAGCTGACCAGTTTTATTTTTATTCGCAGACCGCGATCATAGGGACAATAATGTGGCAAAAAGCCGGTATTTCGTGTTTGGTTGGCATTGGAACATTGTTGATCATTGTCCTCCCAGGACAAGAGATTTTGAGCTTCTTGAATCTCAAACTCAGAACCATGATTGCGCCACTGACGGACCGAAGAGTACAACTAATGAGCGAACTCATAGCTGGGATACAGGTATCCCCAAAAAGTTGGTTAGTTATTTTATTATTAAATATATAGGATGAATATAATAATATGAATAATACGAATAATATTAAGGTCCAAGTATCATCTTATAAAAAAATTTTATGAATCAAATTTATGAAATGATAATTCTCGGTTTAGGTGGTGAAGATGTACGCCAGGGAGAAATCGTCCAGATTGTGTCAGTAATTAGAAAATTAGAGATCAATCAAATTAAATTCTCGTCGTACGTGCGCGTCGCATATTTAGCCATCATAGCCTTCACGGAACGATTGACCGTCTATTTCACTCTGATAATGTTTTTCTTAATGGAAAATAATTTGACTGTCGATGTGACCTATGAAATGTCGACATACTTTAATATACTTCAACTCGTCGTCGCGTTGTACTTTCCGCAAGGGCTAATACTGCTGGGTGAATCAATAGTCATTCAATCGATTGGAGGTATATATTATCATATTATTTTCTAATTTACGGAGAACTTAAATCTACAATCATTCTTTTATCTCTATTGCATGTACTTATTGAAGTGTGCTTAATTTTTACAGGATTTTTTGCTGATGGACGGAGTGAACACGAGACGCTTCTCGGAGAACACGCCGCAGTTGCAGTTTAAATCTCAGAAACCAAAGAAAGAAACTAATGCAGAGAATCAAATTGGCCTGTTACATCTCGAGAAATGGGAGTATCGTTCTGTCCGAACATCAAAGATTATCTGATCTTCCGGTGTACATAAAGCTTCAGCGAGTTTCATCCAATTGGATCAGTGGCCAATTGCCGCCGACTTTGTGCAATATTAATTTAACTATCAAGCCAGGTAAATTATGTATTGTAGTTGGTGCAGTGGGCTCTGGCAAATCGTCTGTATTACATCTACTATTGAAGGAATTAAATCCCGCCACGGGTTTCATAACTTACTCAGGGCTCCTCGAAGTATAATTTTCCGGACAATTTATCCACTGGATACTTCACGAACAATCCAAATCTGCGTATCTCCTATGCCAGTCAAGAATCTTGGCTTTTCAGTGGTACCGTAAGGGACAATATACTGTTTAGCCAGTCCTATGATAATGCTAGATACATGCAGGTACTTTTCGTGGTCCAAAGTAATTGTTGCGGATATTGTTTATGTATTGTTTGTATATTCAATGTTTATATATTCCTGCTATTGCACGTTAGAATCAGGAATTTTTATACGTAATTGGTAACAATTTTTACAATTAGATCTTTCAAATCTTACGCATCAATCATTAAACATAAATTACGTCTTTGTGACTGGATATAAAAAAAGATATATTTTAGCAAGTGTTATGAATTTTTTTGAATCTTTAATCTATATGTGATTCTATTTAGATAAAAAAAAATATCTAACATTTTCTAATTTTGAAATTTTTAATATTCTTTAAAGTTTTTTTTTGATCATTTGGCAAATGTTTCATGTAGCAAATGTGTGCGTCTTGACGAAGGATTGTTTTCGACAATTTCCACAGGGAGACATAACAATGATCGGCGATAGAGGTGTACCTTTGTCCGGTGGTCAAAGAGCGCGAATCAATCTCGCAAGGGCAATTTATAGACAAGCGGATGTCTATTTGCTCGACGATCCCTTGAGCGCGGTTGATACTCGTGTTGCTAGGCATCTCGATGGGAAGTGCATCACCGAATATCTCCACGGTAAGACGAGGATACTTGTCACACATCAATTGCAATTCCTTAAAAGGGCGGATCACATTATCGTACTGGATCGAGTGAGTAACATAGAATATTCTTTAGTTATATCTTAAATTAAAATTAAATTAATTTTAAAACTAAATTTTTAATTTTAAAAGCTTGATTATTTAATTTTAAAAGTAAAGAGTTGAGATATAATAATGACAAAAGCAAATTTAATTTATTGCTGAATGAATATTTAAAAATTTTTTTATCGTTATGAAGACATAATTTTATTAATAATACATAAAAATTAGATAATTTTATAATAAAAATTAATGAATAATAAAATTTTGTTAATTAACAATGGCAAGAAACTTTTAACCATTTAATTCACATGCAATTTACATATAATTAATTAAAAGATAAAAGTTAAATATTGTTTAAATTAAATATTCTGTGTGATTTTGTTTTCTAAGGATTTCGTGAAAATGCTAGGAAATTAAAACTAATTAGTACAGTCAAATAAAAATTTCATTGGGATGTTGGACAATTTGAACCAAGCGCAGAGAAAGGAAGAGGACATGAGAAGAGCTTCGGAAATGTCTAAGTGAATCACAATAACGAGAAAATATCAAGATTATCGACTACAAATTCTATCGCTGTAAGATAATTACTCGTTATTTATAATAAAAAAAATATAGTTTACATTTGATTTGTGTTGGGAATAAAAGAATATTAGAACAAGAATGTAAGAAGTGTTATTCGATCAATGCGGACTTGACGACTCATCGTGCACACACGCGGATAATTAGTGACGAAGGACCTGCCGGTAGGGCATGAATACGCGCCTAGCGGCGAACAAAATAATAAACATAAACATAACTCGTCGATAATCAATCGGCCGTGACTCGCATGTCGATGATCTGCTGAGCGCCACAATTGGATGGACAAGCAAATATCCAACATATTATTTATTAAAATAATATCTTATGATCTAGGTAGCATCCGTCACCTTTGTCGTATTATATTCAAACGTGATTTAGAATGATCTATAATTTTCTCACAATTTTGTTATCATTTTGGAAATACGAGTATGTATAAAACATTCTTAATTCTCTATCTCTACATTTAATAATATTATAATACTTATTCAAATTTAAATTATTTTCCACCATATAGTTTTATGAAGATCGTAAAGAGGAATAGTCATATTGTAAACAGCACTGACACACAAACGATTTACGTTTCATCGATACATCACTACATAATACTACATCAATCTTTCACGCACATATAGGTACACGTAAATTTTTGTATAACAATAACGTTCTAATTGGACCTCTAACACTCTAACAAGAAGAACACCAGGTACTCGTAACGTATCGGAGATTTTGATGCGCCTTTTACAGGCTGTTCTAGAACAAAAAGGAAACAATACTTATCCAGCCGTTTCAGCCATAATTTCGAAGAAATCAATTTTTTAAATAATTATTGTAATAATTTAAAAAACGTACTGCATTGAAAAATATTAATACCTTATAAATTTCATTTTATTTCACCGAATGTTGGGGATAAAATTACGCCTGGGTGGATGATTCTGAATCTCGCATGATGATTTTGAATGCAGCAAGTAGACCGCGCATTAATCGAAATGTTGCTTACTTCAGTAAGTATTCGACTCATTCGCGCGCGCAACCATTTTCTGAACTATTTTAGCAGAAATATTTTAGTAAAGTTTATCATGGAAAACGATAGAAATATTCATAATAAAATCGCATATGCACAGAGTGGAAAATGCGATTATCGATGTTGAGCAAAATAAAACATCTTTACCGCTTTCAAAACAATATATAACTGATAGACTGAAAATTTTGTGATTAAATTTTATACAAAATACAACTTGCTGAAAAAGTGAAAAGTTTCATGCGTTCTGAAAGAGCAGAGATTATTGGAAAGATAATTGCGGAATTTGTGGCAGAAATAATTCGTGATTTTCATTTAAAAGAAGATAAAGAATTACTTTTGGTAAAAGAATGCATTAAACAAAAAGATATTGACACGACTGATTCTAAAATTTCATCACCAACTTATTACACTGACAATTGAAAATAAATAAATTATTACCTAAAGTAGTAATTGATTAACACAAACTATAGAAATCAAAGCTTTTTTAAACGATCCAGCTAGATCTTAATGCTTATATGATTTTCGTGTAAATTTATATACTATATGTATAATAGTTTCCATAAACGCGCATCAAAATTGATTGAAGTAAAAACAATTCTTCTACCAAAAATAATTCTTCTTTTAAATAATCACGAATCATTTCTGCCACAAATTCCGCAATTATCTTCCCAATAATCTTTGCTTTTTCAAAAAAAATTGAACTTTCCTTTTTCAGCAAGTATTTTGTATAAAATTTAACCACAAATTTTTAGTCCATCAGTCATATGTTGTTTTGAAAGCGACAAAGACGTTTTATCTTGATCAGTATCAAAAATCGCATTTTTCACTTTATTAGCATATGCGATTTCATATAATAAATATGTTTATCGTTTTCCATGCTGGTAAATTTTATTAAAATACTTCTTCAATACAAAGAATCACTGTGCATGCGAGTGAATCGAATGTTTACTGAAGTGAGCAATATTTCGATTGGCGCGCGATCTACTTGCTGCGTTCAGAATCATCCGAGATTCAGAATCATTTTTTTTCAGAATCATTTTTTTCAGAATCAATTTTAAGAAATCCATATTCTTCGTGCAAACTATTATTTGATTTATGGATTACTATTTCATAAATACAAATTGCACAGCTTTTATATGAAGCAAATGTTGTCACAACGTCACAACTGGAGCATTAAATTAGACTAGAAAATGATAAAAAGATCTCAGTTTCTTTTTGTCGTTATCAGCATTAAGACTTCGCAGATACGTATTAATACGTATTCTTTAATCCTGGAAAAGGATTTTCAAAGAAGTAAGAGAGAAAAAAATAATTGTTATATAAAAATTATATGTGTTTTGGTAATACGGATGACTTTAGAATTCACTTCTTTTTAAGGGATCCGCCTCCTCCTGTTTAAATGCAAAACATCTTTCAATATTATGAACGCGTGATCGTGTTTATTTATACTCTGCAATATTTGTTGAATAATTTGTTGAAATTATCTATTTTATTTTTTTTCATTTTATCATATTTTAACTAAGCTTTTTCTTATATTATTTTTGTTTTGAAAGCAGAGAATTTGTGTCGTTAAGGTAGAAAATTTCTAAAGCAAGGAATATATATTTTAAAGGAAAGAATTTGTGATTAAAAGCAGAGAATTGGTCTGTCTCATTCTACTTGAAAACGAAATAAAAATTTAAACATATATATATAT